CCAGCAAGGGCGCTCATGCAGTCCGTTGTCTGCCAATTCCCGCGGAAGCCACAGTGAGCTCATCTTTGTAGGGGGGATATCGCGAAGATGACTGATGAGGTTTTATCTGAATTGAAAATAAAGTTGATAAAGCTGCTTAGTCTGTTAGCACTTCATGCATAGTCTTTGAGTAAAAAATGAAAACTATAAAGCGAGAGCTCTAGTTTCTAAAAAATGAGGACTTAGCTTTCTGGAAGAAGAGGGCTTAGCCTTTTAGAGGATGAGAACTTGACATTTTGTAGCGTTTCCCACAGATGGCGCCAATTGATGAATCAATTTTTATTCATGTATCGATTTTTTGGCTAAGTACCTCTACATTTGGTCTGCTTTCAAGTGGCCGATGACTCAGGCCGAAGTGAACTTTGGCTGTTGAGCTGAGTCGAGCTGGGTAGGCTAGGTGGCGAGTTGACTATAGTGCCGAGCTGACCAGGTGGCGTGCTGCCTGTGAGGTGCTAGGCTGACTAGGTGGCGAGCTGCCTGTGAAGTGCTGGGTTGACCAGGTGGTGAGCGGCCTGTGAGGTGTTGGGTTGACCAGGTGGCGAGCTGAATTGATGAGCTTCATTGCTCTTTAGAGACCTGCAAGGAACCAAATGCTAGAGGACTTGGGGTGGCTAACCCGGCGAGGTTGCTCCAATGCTTAAGTTAGTACTCTCATAGTAGACTGCAAGCTAAAAATCACAAAGTTCGAGAGCTAGAGTTTGCTTACTTGCTTGCTTGCTCCTCCCTTTGCTTCTGGGTTGGTGCCTTTATATAGGCATTGTTTGGCGTGGGCTTCATGCATCATATCCGAGATTTCTGCGAGGTTGTTTAAGTGGGTCGAGATTCCTGGAGGTAACCGCCATGCACGTTGACCACCCTCCAGATCGTTCGGCACGTGGGCCAACTTCCGTGGATCGTGGGAGTGTTTGGATATGCATGCCAAATTCGTCGGTGAGCACGTCTTGCAAGTCGCCAGGTCAGCGCATGTGCCAGGTCGCCAGGTCACGCCTGTGCCAGGTTGCCAGGTCGTGCCTGTGCCAGGCTTCCAGGTAGGTGCCTGTGCCAGGGTACTAGGTCACACCTGGGCCATGCCTTCATGTCGGTGCCTGTGCCAGGCTTTCAGCTCGCGCCAGGGCCAGGCCGCGCCACTGCCAGGCCGGGCCTGTACCAGACCACGCCTGGGCCGTCAGGTGGAACACCATCAACTTGGCTAAGGCAAGTTATTGCCAAAATGGTTCTAGGTATCACCTATTTGTTCCGAGGTGCCATGTATCACAATATCATTGGAGGGCCAAATCCGCCCTCATCATAATCCATTTGGAATGATGTACTGTTGCCTATTTGAATAAAAATCATCCCTTTTGGGTTAAAAAAATGGGTACTATGATATCAGAAAACATACGGCCAATCAACGGGTATCATAAAAGAGGTGACCAATCCGGTGATTGATATTCATCATGATTCATGGGATGCTTTCATTGGTCAAAGCTCTTCTGATTTCAGTATTATAGATTTTCCCTCAAAAAATAAGTAAATAGGAAAGATAATATATCCGATACCATGAGCTACCGGCTACATAATGATATATAGTTTGTTCCCCATGCCAACACCTTACTAATTCAGCCACTTGTTTGTTTAACCAATTGCTTATATTTTGCGTAGGGCTGTTAATTGAACTGGATTTGATTCAATCCGATTCAGTCTAACATTGGTCCATTTACAAATGGATTGAACTAAATCCGATCCAAACCCCATACAGTAAAGGGACCGAATTGGACGTCCAAATTAAATGTTTTCCCTATTCACAGTCAGTAAGAGTCCACGACGGTCACTAAGAAATAACAACCACAATCAACAGACGGCTGCTGCCTCTCAACATGTACGTGTCGTCTTTTCATTGATTGAGAGTTTTGGTAAAGCAACATTTCTTCCAAATTGCGTACAAACCCTAGAAGGCTGGAAACTTTGCCCCCTCCCCTAATAATATCCTGCCGTCCATCCCTACAAACTTGGAGAAATCTCAGCGGTAGACTGCGGCATCGCTTGTCCCTCTCCACGTAGCATGCTGACAGCTGATGTTTTCTATATAAAGCAAAGCCCTCCAGACCTCTAGCTCCAGCTCCGCACCTTAAAAAATAACCTTAAATCCAACAACAACCACAACTGAAAGCTCCCAATCTCACAAACAAAGCAACCACCTTTTCTCTGTTTGTCTGTTTGCCTGTCTCTCCTCTTCTCTCTCTGGTTTCTCGGGTTTTCACAAAATGGCGATGATAATCACACATAAAATCGGTGCCTTGTCTGTGACGCCTGTAGCTTCATCAGAAACCATGAAAGAGTCGGGTGATCCGCCTGCTGTTGTAGTAAGTGTATTGGCTCTCTGGAAGACACCCTCACAGCCTATGAACCTAAGGCCTAGAACTCAGAAACAAGGGCCGGTGGTCGGAAGAGAGATGGAGGCCAGCCTGTCAGTGGTGTGTCAGGTGCTTGTGGCGGAGACGACAATGATGGAGTGCAGAGATGGAGAGGTGGGAGGTGCGCAGGTTAAGGGCGAGAGGAAAATCGTTGAAGAGAGGGAAATACCGTCGGTGAGACTTTGAGATGGAGCGATGGAGGCGCCAAACTCAGGCCTTCGAAAGTTTACACGCTTCAAGCCTTCAACGTTCAAACTTCGAACGAAAATGAACGGACCAGTGGACTTGTTCGAACTTTTGGCCTTGTCCACTTTTAGTCCATTCTATGAAAAGACGATTCATGTTTGGACCGGGCTGAATTCATATCAATTTTAGGACTGTCCATAACACTTTCAATCAGACGGAGTCCAACCTGAAACCGGTCCATTAACACCTCTAGTTGTGCGGAAATTAACCAAACATGATTGAAACCCAAACTCATCATGTGATATATTTGAATAAAGGACTGAAACATGATTGGGCTCGGGCTTTCTGGCTGGCCCATTCAATTTTAACAAATTCCCAATTCAAGCCCGCCCAATTCGCATCACTAGCCAAAATAAAAAAAGGCAAGTTTTAATTCACCTACGAATGATGCTTCTACTGTGGTGACTTTGATGAAGTGACGTGGTGGGTCTACAGCAGCACATCAAAGGCCAAGATTCACCATTTTAATCCTGTACTAAAACCATGTCGTAACAAAAAGTGAATTCATTTGGCTATTACTCAGGGCAGGGCCTGTGCATACGTAAACGTGTAAATCGGATCGTAACATAATGACCACATCGGGAACATCTCCCATATTTACATGTTTTCATTCATGGGAGATGTTCCAAATGCATGGCCGTAAATGCTGTGAGATGGGCATGAAGAACATTCTGTGTGGAAGAAATTCGGATTCCCTTTCAGAATATGCAATCGTAACCACAATGATGACCATGGCAAAGACATAAGCTTCTTTTAGAAAGGAGGAAATCCTGCTTACATAGTAACAAGCCATATTTCAGAAAATATTTAGAATTTTCTGACACTGGTAACGTGGTTTTAGTATCCACCGTGAAAGGATTTCCTTATTTTTAAAAGGAGAAAAAACATAACCAATAAAGTTGCTTTCCCCGGAAAGCTACATTTATAAAGCTATTATTTCACTATTCCTATCGAGTGTTTTTTACGTCTTATAAAAGCATTCTTTTACTGCTATACGAAAAGTGCTTTGTGGAGAAACAACAAAAGAGACGTTTATCCAAACCAGAAAAACCTGGTCCTTACTAACAGCCCATGGCCTCCAAAAGCAAATTTGAGACTGGAACCTCCTATCCAATGGGTTATGTATCTGAAATTTGGATAATTTTGGGCCCATTTTTTCCCTTCTTGTTCTTCATGATTGAAAAAAAAAACTCATGAATAAATGGATTTTGTCTGCAGGGAAAAGTCTTCCTAAATCTGGTCAGGTTGGTTGCTGCTTAAAGCTTCTGGCTTGTTACATATGAATAAGCTCAGTCCTGCCTAAACCCCTCCTCGCCATTTTATTACTTTTTATCAACAAAAGTTGGTCAAGATCCTTTTATGGCCCCCATCTCTGAAGTTGAGTTTCATTGTTGAAAAAAAAAAAAAATGGAAGAAAGGAAAATAAAATATGAAAGAAATTAAGAAAGTGGCTTTCTTTGGTTTGACTTGCAGCCAAAAGTTGAGACAAAAGAAGAAAGTGGATTTTCTCTCTCTCTCTCTCTTTTTAACTTCTTTTATTTGTTTTCCCTCAAAAAGTGAGAAAAAAGCAAAAAAAAAAAAAGGGGGGGAGGGGAGATGAGAGCAAACAACACTGATCCCATTCCCTTCAGAAAAAAAAAAATATTGTTTTTACCTTTTCTTTCATTTTCTTGGCAATCAAAATACATATCCGCTGCTTTTCACCTTAGAAAATCTTTATGGGCGCTAGTTCCTAACCATATGATCTATCTAATTTTTTAAAACTGAAGTATGCATATGGGGATAGATAGAGTGAATCCGGGGCTGCAGATCATGTGCAACCTGGAAAAATTTCCCCCCTTATACGTTTTGAATATTGATATTTGATCAATATAAATTAAGAAAGTAATGGAATTTAGGCCTGATTTATTTGAATTGCACGTTTGCACTGGTGCAAAAGTATGAAAGTGCAAATTACTTGAATTTTCTAATTCATTTTTGTTTCAAAATTCACCTTCATTAGCTGAGCAGTGTAAGAAATAAAACCTAAAGCAAAGCAGAAATGAGCTAGAATTTCTATTCTTCTAACTTGCATTTTCATGCATATGTGCTAGTGCAAATGAAATTACATTACAAAGGAATAAATACAAATATATACAATACAAATTCATACAAAATAATACAAAATATAAAAGTTTGAAAGGAGTATAAATACAAATCTTATCTTATATCTTATATATATATATATATATATATACATTAAAAACAAAGTTTTAAGGGGTGCTTTCCATTTTTTGCAAAACGGAATCTTACTGTTTCTTTACATCAATGAGTTGCACGTATGAACCATGCATGAGGGACAAATGTCTATCTTCTCTAATCACTTCCATTTTGCATACATGACGCGTGTATATTTTTTCTCTTGTTTGCGGATTATTTTTCCCTCTCTCCTCATCTTCCCTATCTTACATTCCTGTTGCCCCTCTCTTCCCCCTCTCCCTCTTATCTCTACCTTTCTTTCCGCTTCCTTGCTTCCCTCTTTATCTTTCCTCCCTCATCTGACTTCTTCGGTTTTAACCCATGGTTTCCGATTTGATTTGCAGTGTGAAGTCTTCCAAGAATCCAATGTCGCCGAGCTCGTGTCGGCCATGGCCGGTGGATGGAACCCGCAGCTAATCCTCAAAGCGTGGCATAGAGAAGGAATCGTGCCAGACGAACAGTCAAGATCCGAATACGTGGATGCCATGCGTGAGGCAGGCATGTCGCCGGAAGCAATCGTGGGAGAGGCGGAAGAAGTGATGGAAGCACTAGGGTTCTGAAGCATGTCAATATGAGCACCCGGGGTGCAGTCTTGAATCAGGCACGTCGATTAGGAATCAGGCGAAGAGTATTTGTTCCGGAGAGGAAGTAATGCCTCTAATATTTTTCATTTTCCTGTTTCTTTTTTTGAGTTCTCTTTCCTGTAATTTCTTTTGAAAGTAGAGGGATGGGAGGTTAATTAGAGAGACAGAGCACAAAAATAAGATTCAGATAGTGCCCAATCCTTAGTATTCACCACCATCAATAAGTTCTGATCTGTTCTCTCATGTTTTGCAGGTGGTGGAGGCGGCGGCGACGCCAGGCTTCGATTGGGTTCTTGAGAGCTCTACCCCCTCCCTCCAAGCATCTGGACCTTCTCATAGTGAGATGGCAGATAGCCATGCGAATTGCTTCCAGTATCCTTGTTGACTCGCCCCCATTCATAACCTGTTGGTGTAAGCTTGTATGCAGTTAATGAGCAAGAGCCTGGAGTGAAACTGCAAGTGAGGATGATGCACTTCTCTCCATCCCACAGTTTATTGTTCTCCAGAATCCTAGCATGAGTTGTGAGATCCTGTAAAAGTAGAATGGAAACTCAATCAAGGCCTGATTTTATAATACAGAACTGGAACCACTACAGCCTGCAGTCTGCACGGCCAGTAAGAAAGCATGCTTAGTTAAAAACAAATACTTGAGGGGACAACTATGGAAGCTCATTTGGTTGTGTATGCATCCATCCCAATGGCTCCAGATCATTTAAGAAATCATGCTCAGGAAGAGCAGATGGAAGATGGACCTGCTGATGAATCCCCCCCCTGTGGTGGCATGGCAATACAGCGGATTTCTTTAACCTGAGGATTGTCTGTGGACTTATACCATATAGGTACCCTGCAATTTGAGTACGCAAATCTGCTATACAGATAAACTTCTTCAAGATATTTTTTGGCATGATGTATGCGTATCCCGTTTCCTGTTATCATAAAATTTCATTCAAGGTCTTTAAGCTCTCCATGTTCAAGCTAAAGAGGAACAATAAAACCAATAAATAAAATACCTTGATGTCCTCCGAATTCACATAAATATGATTGACTCGGAGATAAAGATTTGTGGCTGAGTTTGCTCTCACACGCCAATCATTTTTGGACCCAAAAGCCTGTTGCTCATATGGACTTGTGGTGGTGACAATAAGTTCATCACCATGCACATTTGTTGTCCTTGTTGTGACAGCTGTAAGCTGGCTTGCTTCTTTTGCCTGCAAATGAAATTCCAGAAGCAACAAATCAGCAAAGCGACGAGCATAGACAATTCTATTCAACCATAGGAGCTAAATATTACCTGCTTCTCAATCTCTGCTGTCTGTTGCCTCTGTTCTCAGCTCCTAGTATTATGTCACGAATCTCAGATTGGGTAAGAGCTGAAGTAATCACATTATTCTTCTTGGCATAATCTGATTGTATAAGATCTCTCAATGCAACCTCAACCTGCATGATAGAAGATCTTGGCAACAAATAAGTAAACATGAACAGAGGCACATTTTTACAATACTAGGATACGGGCAGGTACAAATTTAATTAGGTCTCTCTCAAATATTTTGAAGTTACCTTCATCCATTGATCATCTGTGAGAGAAGGCTAGATATGGTGTGGTTCAGTGATAATAGTTTTGTCGGGCTTCAGTAACATTTTTGCCTCCTCATTGTTTACATGTAGTGCATGCAGAATTAAGATGAGACGAGAGAATGCGGTATATGAGATGCTTTTAAGTTCTTATTTGTTTTCTCGTGTTTTGCAGGTGGTGGAGGCGGTGGCGACGCCAGGCTTCGATTGGGTTCTTGAGAGCTCTACTCCCACCCTCCCTCTTTCTGTCCTCTCTTACGAATTTTCCCTATGACGATCTGTCCCTTGTGTGTTCTAACTTCTGAGTCTTCTGACCACCCCACTTAAATCGAAGAATCCCACACCTCTTCAATTGATCTTTATCGCTTAATTACCGGGTTTCTTCCTTTTTTTTTTTTTATCTTCCATTTCTCTCCTCTTTTGGTTTACACTTGTTGTGGTGGAAGCTGCCCTTCGTTCTTTTTCAAAAATTCAGTTGGGTTCTTCTATCTCTGTTTCATCTCAACTACGCGGCTCTCTTTGTTGTATGCTTTTCTTTTGTTGAATTGACGCGTCATTTTTTTACCCAGGTCTGTAAATTTCGTTTCTGGGGTGCAAATTTTCTGAGTTCTGAATCGAGAAAATGGCACAAGGCTATGGAGTTGAGCTCTACTTCAAGGCTTGGAACGTCCTTGCTCGTCGCCAGATCAGTACCCAGCTTATTGAGATGGAATCTCGACCACACATTACTCTCTCCTCTAGCCCTACCCTTGAGCCTCCAAAACTGGAAAATGTCATGAAGAACTCGCTTCTAAGCAATAACCGCTGCCTTTGTCATTTTCTATTATAGTAAGTGCTCCCTTGAGGGGATAGTTTCATATGTTGAAGACATTATTCTACAGAACTTGTTGGTTCACAAGATGAATAGCATGCTTGATGACTTTGTTTTGTATGTAAGATGGTTCCATTATGATACATATAAAATTTGTATTTCTTTTGGGAATTATGTGTTTAATAACTTTGTAAGATCGTTTGTGTACTCATGCATATAAAAATTTGTATTCATTCTCTTTGTTATGTAATATATATTTTTCATAGATTAATTGGTTCATTACAGACCCGGATTCGGATCCCACAACTATAGCTTTTATTGTTCTTTTTTTTTTAATTCTCCTCCCACTTCGCTAGTATGTATTAATGTAGAGTGCAAAGTCTTATATTTTGTATGTATTTGTTCCCTACATAACTACATATTTGTATTTGTACTCTCTCCAAATTGAGCCATATTTCCTGATGATGTACGAAGATTCTAATCCAATTCTTTTTCTGCAACGGCGCTACTCTTCAGACTCTTTGCGGTTTATAACTATTTCTGATAAAAGATTCAAATCAAAATGCCTCTCTAGTTTTTGCACAGCCTTTATAGCTCCGGTTCGGGTGCCCAACTATTTTTTTAACTCGCTTTTATTATTACTTGTTGCTTTGAATACAACAACTTAGAATAAGGCATAAAAAAGAAGACAAAAAAGCGCCTCGACCTCGATCTTATGATGTCTGGGCCTCTGGCCTCTGGTCTGGGCCCTGGGGGTTGTAAATCTATTGCCTTGATCCACGCTGGTCACTGGGCAAATGACCTTACTTGAATCATTAACCTATTTAATTCTATCTTTTAGTATTTTAGTCATTTCTATCTTTACTAACAATAATTCTTATTTTTCAAGTATATTTTTGTTTAAAATGAAGAATATATAATATTAATGCATATTCAATTTTTTTTATAAAAAATTATATATTTTTATTTTTTATTATTTAATTTATGAGATAATAAAATTTACTTATTTAGCAACAGAAAATGCAATTCCAATATATTGTTTGAATATTGGTTTTTAATATTGTGGTCAAATCAATTATATATAATATATATGTTATTTATATTACATTTTTGTAAACTTCTTATATGATGAAAATAGTTGAAAAATACTTATATTTTTTGTTTTTCTTTGTTTCAATTATTATATTTTCTTTTCCTTCTAATAATTTATTATTTTTTTAAATTAAATCTGGTGGTATCAGATTTGAATATCCAACATATTGATCGGATTCAAATTTAAATCAATATTTATGACATTCAATAAGATCTTTGGATTAAATCGAATTCAAATATACCTTGATTCAAATCCGATCCAATCTACTTGCATCCCTACCAAATCACTTGCCTACAATGACTTAGCTAATTAAATCATTGAATCATTTGACATGGTCAGTGGGGCCATGTGTTAGACATTAATGTTTTTTATTTATATCCTAAATTTTATCCCATTTCTATCATTAATGAAAATAATTCTCATTAATCATACTTTTTTATATGATAAATATATAATATTATAGAATGTACATAAAATTATCTACAAATTTTTATATTTTTTATAATTTTATGTATTTTATTATTTAATAATAACATCATGTGTTGATCCATTTGATATGGATAGTTGAACCACTAACCCACCACTTAAATAGAAAAACCATTTTTTCTTTTTCGATTGATTTTAAATCATGTATTACATTTTCATCATCAATAAAGTAATTCTTATTTCTGTTAGACAGTTTTGTATGCCCTTAGCTCCAATCAGTTTTGATGTATTGTTGACATTTAGTGTAAATGAATAAAGTGCATGTTTGATTCATGTTGTGTGGTATGTTTCTGTGTAAGACTCTTAAACTGGACACTTAATGAGACTCGTGTTAGTTTAGAATGTTCACAGCCGTTGGATAAGTCTGGGGAGATTTATCTTGCCAAGGTTGACA